CGATTCTCTTAAGTTCCGGTTTGGGATGTGTTACGATAGTGGTGGTGAGAGGGGGGGGGGGGGGCGCTTAACAACAATACTAAACAGTACTTCTGCCTTTGCCACATGTAGATTCTAGGCCTAGATCGTTAAATGTCCGGACCCTCAACCTCCCATCATAATTTGTAGGGGCCCAGGTATACTTTACTAAATACTAGCAATCTAAATTTGACGGACTCACCTGATTAACTTGAAGTCTTTGCCGGTTTCTCAGTTGTGCTGATCTCTGCTAGACATGGTCCAATAAATAAAAATGAAGTTACAGTGAATGACTTGCACCAAAATCCTGCCTGATTTCACTTTGCCTCGAGACTGGTTCACAGATATTGGTGTCTGCTGAAGTTATTCGACGCCACGGCAACGGACATGGTTTGGCTAGCATCGCCGTGTCTGCCAAACTAAACTAAAGCTGATGTTGCCGGATGTAACGTTCTCTACGATTTTTATTTGGAGTAGCCTGTGACTTATCCCCCTCTAAAAACAACGAGCGCAAACATATAATCAAGACAAAGAAGCAAAAAAGGCAGAAATAGAGGCAAAATTCAAATTGACTATACGAAACCACGGGTTCCATTTTGTTCACTGCATAATGAAATCACTTTTTAGTTATTTCTTGTTTACACTGTACGTCATTACGTCATGTTTGTTTTGATTATGTACGCGCAAGTAGTAACTACAACGCGCGCGTAATGTTAGGGCGCTTGCCCGGCATTATGACGTAACCAGAATTTACCCATCATAACCATGACGTCACAATCACGCTTAAAGGGGGAGGATACGACTTCTGTGTACTCCTATTATGACGTAGGGCATAGAGCCCTAATAACTTCGATACTCCTATGATTGTGATGAGACTAATATAAACCCAGCATTGCTTTCCCATCAGTTATGTGTTGTTATTTCAAAATAAATATTATCATTTCATGAAAATTGATATAAGTAGGCCTATAGTTATTATTGAATATGTTGAATATGAATATATCGTTACTGATCAACTGCATTAGTGACATTTAACTTGATTATCCTGACATATGCTGTACTCATTTTATAGAACGCCAATAGGTACTAATCTCATCTTTGTTTTGGGTACATTTTGTTTTGACTGTTTTAAACCTCCGGACAACGTCATCGCTTGGACTAGAACAGTCCGGGGTAATATCTGTCCGAGGGTTATTGTTCTAGGGAGTAGTCATCCGAACAAATTAGTCAAACCCATTCGACCAGATACCAAGCAATCAAATAGGCTAACAAGCGTGTCAAAAATCAAAATCAATCAAAATCAATCAATCAATCAATCAATCAATCAATCAATCAATTAATTAATCAACTCAATCAATCAATCAATAAAAAAAATCAACCAAATGATCAAATAGTCAATCAACCTAAAGTTATGACTAGATTTTGTTGATTGATTATATCAATCAAGTAATGCCAACTTCCTCATCCTCGCACCTTTCTGATCTCAACATGCTAACACCACACAAAAATGATATAGTGAAACAAGGCTAGTCGACAGTTTTCTGCAAGTATTTCCAAAACATTTATTCTCTAATACTCAATCTGTGATGAATACACACAAAACGTGCATGTGAATGTCACAACCTAAATCAGAGATTTTTATCAGAAAACTCTCTGAGACTCAACTCCGCTAAAATATCAAGTATGGACGCGGCCTATTACAACTTTCGTACAATCAAATCGATGTGATAGTTTTGCCTAGGAATTGCCCGTAATATTGCAACACCAATTTATATTTAAATTATTTAAAAAATCTTATTTCAACGTTAGGAAAGAGAAGAAATAGAAAGAAGAAAACGTCAAAAAATTTGAGCTATCAAATTCTAACTTGTGTTTGTGATATTTTATACAAAAAATGGAATTAACACGTGTCTATTTCAAAATTTTAATCTAAACGTGAGATTCACAATTACACAGTTTCCCACTCCACTGACATGTGCTTTAATCTCAAAACTGATTGACCGTGCGTGTACACATACTATTTTTGGTTTTCTTTAATTTTACAAAAACGATTTTCAGTTAATGCTCAAATTGATTTCGTGGCAAAAAAAGAAAAAGAAACTGGGGTTCAAACCCAATCAAAAGTAAGGCCACTTTCAATAATATATGGGGATTTTCATTTACCTAGTACGCGATGACTGATAAAATAATAAAACAAGTTCCAATGACATTTGAAAAAACCCGAACAAACAAACTAAAATAAAAATACGAAGCGAAGCCCCAATTACTGAAGTGCGAATCATGTAATTGTTAGCTTGGCACATACACACATGTTGGTATCTACTTGATTCTGCACATTTAAAAGTTTTTTATGCTTGTATTTTGCTTGTATTTAGAAAATTTAAGAAAATTTACATCAAATGTAAAATAGAATATAATCTAGAAAATATCCAAGTGCTAGGGTGTGTTCCAGTGATATCATAAATTTGTCGAATTACAACATATTTATTTTATACGAAATTATTGTCATATTTCGACATCTGTCTAAGTGAACATTCAATTTTTTACGTGTGATTCATTAAAGATGAGGAAATTATCAATTGTTTAATCCCATTAATTGTTACTCTGTTTTGAATAAAGTTCATAGAATATAGATAACTACACAATACTGACTATCAAAAGAGAAAACACATATAGTATTAAATGTACAATATAAATTGATACTGTTTGTTCATGCCTAGAAGAAAATAAATAAATTTGAAATTGACTTGTTCCGACCTTTTATTTTGTTACATTTTATTTTTTCCTATAAAGGGGAAAGAATATTAAGAGAAGATCTTTCTGCTTGAAGTTTTATTCGGTAAAGCGCCACCTGTCGACACCTACTTTACATTGTCGCTCACTGTAGCATGCAGTTTTCGTGCTTGAGGACAACTAATCTTTATCACATGTAGTGTAGGACTTTATAATAACAATTCAAACAAAATCATGAAATGGTATAGCAGCAACAACTAGAGAGGTAGAAGAAGAAGAAGTGGTGGTAGTAGTAGTAGTAGTAGTAAGAGTATTAGTATTAGTATTGCTGGTAGTAGTAGTGACAGTACTAATAGTAGTTGTAGATTTAGTAGCAATTACAGTAATAGTAGTAATACAATTTACAATGTAGAATAAGTAGTATTAGTAGCAGTGGTAGTAGTAATAGTAGTAGTAGTAGTAGTAGAAGTAGTAGTAGTAGTAGTAGTAGTAGTAGAAGTTATTGTAGTAGTACAGGTAGATTGGTAGCAACATCATCAACAGCAGTAGTGGTGTTAGTGGTAGTAGTAGTAGAATTAAATGTAGTTGAAGTTAGTGGTTGAACATATAGTATATATTTTAGGAATAGAAGAAGCAGCAGCAGAAGCAGTAGTAATGGTAGCAGTATTAATATTATTATTATCATTATCATTATCATTACTATTTTTTATTTAATATTATTATTATTGGAAGTAGAAGTAGTAGTATAATAGTAATAGTAGTAGTAGTTGTTTGTAGTAGTAGTAGTTATGCTGTTGTTGTAATAGTAGTAGAAGTATAGTAGTGTACTGCTGCTGCCGGTGGTAGTATTGTAGCAGTAGTAGTAGTACTGCTACTAGTAGTTGTGGTGGTAGTAGTGGTAGCAGTATTATTATTATTGTATTGTTATTACTATTATCATTATTGTTATTATCATAGTAGTAGTAATGATGTTGTTGTTGTTGTAGAAGTGGTGGTGGTAATATAGTAGCATCAGCAGCAGTAGTAGTAGTGGTAGTAGCAGTATAGTAGTAGTAGTATTAGTAGTAGTAGTAGTAGTAGTAGTAGTAGTAGTAGTAGTAGCAGTAGAAGAAGAAGTAGTAGTAGTTATGGCACTAATAATAGTAGTAAAAATGTGGAGTTTTAATGGTAATTACTGTTGAGAAGAAACTACTGTAGGAACATTGTTTAAAATTTAGTAAACACAAGACTTGTGGAGGATGCAATGTTTACAATGAATTATTCAAAAAATATCTATTTTGGTTTACAGCTGTGTAATTCATATCGAATGAATGATGAGGTTCATAAATAAAATCATGCAGTTAGACTTGAAACTCGTAGCCTGCAATCACGAATCCGTGACCTCGTCTAGCACCAAACTTTGACGTGTTTCATTACTCGATCTAAAATGTGACACGGTCGTGATTTATTCAATAGTTTACTAACATTTTGCGTAACGTTCACCGCTACGTAGGATAGATTAACGAAAAATGGCAGGATAACTGGTGTATCATAATTACATAATATATTAATTAATTTTAGGAAGCGACGGATGCTGTAACGCTGTCCGTATATCAACTGATCTGTACCTTCGGCCTTGAAAAAATCTTACTCTAGGAAAACAGTGGATGGACAGGTATGAGACGTCCCTTCATAATACGTTCACGCAATTTTCACTGGGCCATAATACTTCTAAGAAAAATGATAGCCGATATAGGGTCAGTGCATCACGCCTGAAGTGTCACCAGCAGATGAAAATTATCCAGAGGAGTGAAATGGGGCATTCACAGTGCACTCTTATTGTGGAGCTCGCCCCCTCCTGACGACCCACGATTTCCGTCGACTAATTTCACCCAGCCTCCGGAGGAGCCATTTAAATGGTCAGGAGTTGAAACCCACTTTCTAGAGAGCCATTTTAGGGATGATTTCATTTTTGAGTGAAAATCCACTCCAAAAAGTAATCCATTAAAAGAACAGTGTATTTCAATATAATATACTTAGAGTGAATCTTTCTCTATTTCATGATCATGTCCATATTTTAAACACAGACAACATTCACGTAATAACAAATAAATCTTTGAATGTCTTATATTTACAATAATCATGCTGGTCCAAAAATAGCAAAATTCTGATGCCTGGCCTTATGGCATTTCAGTTTCATGTGTATAAAAAGTTTGTTTACATCATCTGTTAAAGACAGCCACTTGTGAAAAAGTTTATGTAGATTAATCTCACGAATCATTCGTCGAAAAGTTCAGACCATTGGCGACCCCTGACACGGCATTCACCACAGCCTTGGTGCCTGTAGCCGAGTCGTGCGCTTTCAACGCGCACATACACGGGAACATCTTGGCGAAGGCGCGCTTGTATCCCATGCGGAATTCCTTGCCGTAGGCGTACAGGAACGGGTTGATCACCGAGTTCATGTGCGAGAGAATGATACAGGTTTGGATGAACTTGTAGGGTTGCATGACCGATGGAAAGAGGGCGCCGACGGAGTTGCTGAGGCTGAGAGGCAACCAACATATCATGAACACGAGGACAATGACGGCCACCGATTTGACCGCCTGCAGGTCCTTCTTGTAAGCTTGGAATCGTTTTTGGCGCCTTCGAGCGGTGTCGGCTGCTTCCGCCTCTCGTTCACTCGCGCGGTTTTTAGTGTCGTCCGATGCGGCTGTTCCGTTACTCGTAGCCCCGCTGCTGGTCGTGGGTTTGCTCAAACTTGGAAGAGTTACTGGCTCTATTCTTCTCATCTGAAATAAGAATGAGAAGAAGACAAAAAAACAGAAATCTTTACAAAGGTCTTCAACAAAAATATGAGTTTAAAAATTTGGGAGAAATAAGGGGGTGTATGTGCGTGTTTGTGGAGGGGATGGGGGGGGGGGGGGTTGAGACAGCGAGAAAGAAGAAGGAAAACAAGATTGGATAGAGAGAGAGAGAGAGAGAGAGAGAGTGAGAGAGAAAGAGAGAGAGAGAATGAGAGAGAGAGAGAAAGAGATTGAGAGAGAGAGAGAAAGAGATTGAGAGATTGTGACAACAAGAACGAGTTTGATTTGTAATGGGCAAACAAGACCAACAGAGAGAGTGTCAGAGAAAAAAAGGAATTAAAAGAGAATATATAAATAGAAAGAGACAGCCAGAGAGAGAGAGAGAGAAAGAGAGAGAGGGAGGGAGAGAGAGAGAGAGAGAGAGTGACATACAAACAAACAGACAAAGAGGGAGAAAGAGAGGATAAGAACCAGGGAGGAGTTGAGTGTTGAGACCGGTATAGAATGGTACGAAGCAAAAATAGCTAAGAATAGAAGTGAAAACTGCAACCATTCGCATGGTTCATAATAATGCTATCATTATGGCAGAGATGGCTCCCAATGTAAACTGTAATTCTTTCTGAATCTGATTAATACTAGAAGAGGAAGACACATGCCTTCCAGATGCTCAACTGTCAAGGAGGATGAAATGAGGAGAATGAAACAGGTTCGTGGTATTCCGTGACACGAGAGCAAATATTGGTAGAGGAGCGCATCACCGATGCATCAGCCCACGACGGCACCTGTACGAGCATATTGCGTCCTTATGAGTAGAGACCAGAGAAAGAGTTCTTTCATCTATTCCCTTCCCGATTTCATAAAGTCAAGTTCTCGTCATTTGATGACATTGTGAGAAAGAATATGTCTTGAACAATTTGAGGAAGTCTACAAATTCATGATGATTGTATTTTATCAAGTATAGACTTTTATAAAAAACGTTTTTACCTTTATTGACAACGATATTGTAAAATCAGATGACTTTTCTGTAACGCGACTTCTTGTTTCCGATACTATAACAGATAGGGGTCTAATTCTCTAGAATATCAAATTTTATGAATGCTAATAAGAGCGAGGAAATCTTAACAGATTCAACGATGGGGAGAAGGGACGCCAGTACAGTGAGGAGGGGATTCCCCTATGATTACATGATTGAAGAGTATAGGTTGAATATTTTGAAGAGGTGAAACATAATTCGAGAACTCTCTCACCCTTTTTATTCTAATGTGGAAAAAATGTCAAGTGCCTTTCGGGTTTAGGAATTGCCAACAGGAGTGTCACAATAATGCACTTTCATGAAAACCGACATATTTAGAAAAAAATAAAGCGGCTATTCTCTTGAACCCCGAACTCATCAAATATTTAGAATTCAGGTCACCTTTGATATCGTAGATTCAAACTGTCGAACGTAATCATGTTATTCAATATGAATAGATTCTCGTAAATGTTCTCCATACGAGTTTTGCTATTCAAATTTGAATGGATTCTACTGAACATATGAATGGATATTCCGACAGAGAGAGAGAGAGAGAGAGAGAAAGAGAGAGCACATTCTTTATTAATTGTTTTGCCGAGGGATCATGTGACCCCTTACCCCCCCCCCCCCTCCCTCCCCATCCTCCAGCACCACCCCACCCTCACTGATGGAATAGGCCACTATGGATGATGATATCTCAGGGTGAGATTGGAGCCCTCATCGTCGGATAATGCAATCAATTAATGAAGAACGTCATCCTCTGGGAAATCAGTCCGAAAACCTCACACTCGGCTTCACTCCTGCAGGGAGATCTTTCATGTCATTTATTTCCACTAGTTTGTTTCCGAGCTGTGAAAAAAAGAAATCTTTATCGCTATGACATTCAGGAAAACGCATTCCCGGCGTCCATTATTCTTTCTCTTGGCGAAATGCTCGCGGTCCTCATTGATGAGAGGCCGACGAATGAATATTATTCAGTTAAGCGTTTGTAGGGGTACATTAATTTTATTGATCTGAAGGCACTGCTTGCTTAGTCCTGAAATAGAATGACACATCATAAAAGACCTTCGAAAAAAAGCCTCAACCTCTAGCAATTCAATAGCCTTGCACATTACCCTTTTTAATGTGCGAACATTATAATGACGTACTACGTTATCCTGATTTATATAGGATGTTCTACAGCATTATGAAGGTGCCCTTGAGAATATTTCTCAAAAATCTTTGTGAAGGTTTTTTTGTATGTATTGTATGATCAGATATTATGATATATACTCGATCCAGAAAAAATATATTAATTTCACAATCCCGATAGAATTGATAATTGAATGATAAATCACTATTCTGTGTTTTCTGTGTTTTGTTATTTTAATAACTGATTATTTTTCATCTTTGATGGATGGTGTTTTAATGACCAACACTGTCACGACGAATTATTCAGCAAAGCTGAATAAATTGAATGACAACAAAATCGTAGAAACGTTCAAATATTCAAGTTTTAGGGCATTGGACTTCTAATCTCGCTAAGTAAGCAGAAGACCTTACTAACGAGCGAACGCGACCTAAAAGAAACAAAGAAAAGAAACAAAAAAAGAAAACAAAAAATAAAGTGGTTGGGATGACTCCGAGAAGTAGCAGAAGAAGAGGTAGGTGAAGAAGAAGGAGAATAAGGAGGTAGAGAAGAAGAAGAAGAATAGGAAGGTGAAGAAGAAGGAGGAGGAGGAAGAGCTAGAAGGAGGGGGAGGAGGAAGAGCTAGAAGGAGGGGGAGGAGGAGGAGGTGGAGGAGGAAAATAAGATGGACAAGGAGAAGGAAAAAAGAAGACGATGACGACAATAGAGAAAGCACGACGAATATAGAGGCCATAAAACGTCAAGAGCAGTTTATGCAATATCCTCACAGCACATGAGCAGGGTCAACTTGGGCACAATGGAGAAGTTTACCACCCATTTAAGGTTCTTAACTCTCGGTCTTAATGCCAGATTCTTGTACATTCTTCTCTAGGAAAAACTGCTTGTCCGAATCTATCAAGGAGTAATTTTGGAAATGTTTAAAGGAAATGTCCTTATGTTTTATACCGCAACGGAATTTCATTGCAGGCAAATTGAAATAATTCAGAGTCTCAGCGAATCACTTAATTTGTAGACTAGTAATTAAGGCTGTTCACTGCTGGTAGTTACATGCAGTGAGAATAATAGTTGTCATAATCATCTTCATAAGGCAGCTAAGTTATTGAATTAGGAGACACGTAAAGAAAAGAAATATAAAACACAAACTCAAATCAATATTAATATCATATACATCATACCACCGCACCTTATTTAATCAATTGGCATTGACACCCCTATTATGTTCGAAAGGTATGTTTCGCAAAATTATTAAGCTATGTATTGTAAGTGAGCAAAACGAATTAGAACGTACGTTGGATAACATTTAATGACCAAAATGAGACGAAATGATTGAATATGTGTGAGCTCACAAATATGACACAGTTAATTTCATTTTATAGAAATATTCCCACTTTGAACCTTTAAATTTATTCTAGTTTTATTTTCTTCAAATTCCTAGCACTAAGTTTTTAATGATATCTCTAATTTCGATACCCAGAAAATCAGGAAATTAAATTAAGTTCACTGTCTTGCGAAATCAATCTAACCTACTAACCCAGACTTGAAATAGTAGTCTAAATTCTAATTCATCGGAGGATTTCTAAAGTGCTTTCTTCTGGTGTCCAGAGAATCAAGAAATTATTGTTTACTGTTTCACAAAATCAATCTGACTTAACAAATTTACATCAAATAGGAGATTTAGTTCTGGCAAATTTTAAACATAATGTATATTTGAATTCCTAAGCGGAAAAAGTTTCATCTCTCTCTTGATTAAAAAAAACATATAGCTTAGATAAAGCTTCGGCAACAATTTTGATGCTGCATGTTTGTGTACTCCCACATACCCATTTCAGTGTTATTATTATTACTATACGTGTCCATTATTTATCAAAATTCAGTAAATTTGTCATCATTTTGAGATGTAAAAATCTCACAATACAATAAAGGCTCGAACCCTATGCATAAGCCTTTATACTTTTGTTCTTTGCAATCTTCCTGTCTATCCCTTCGTTTCAGGCTCCAGTCGCATGACCAGTCCGCAACTTTATCTTTAAACCGTGAAACATGGACTGCGCCTTTAAGCTCTCATCTGGTTAGAACCTAATTATGGGTGATTTATAAGAAAAGATGGCTGTGGGGCCTCAGGAAATAGATAGATAGGCACCCGTCTATATCCATCTAGATGACTAGTTTCTCTTTGAATCGTGTACCGTGACGGAGAGACCTTTCTCTAGGGATACCCATGGTTTGGTGATTCTTTGGAAGAGGAGGGTGACTTCCGGTAAAGATCTGTCAGCTTTCTCATTTTTGGGGTCTTGATTTTATTTATTTATTTCTTATTGTGTGTGTGTGTGGGGGGGGGGGGAAATATAATAATAGAAATATCTCCTGAAATGGATTCATTTTAATTTTTCCTATTATTCATAATTTGACAAGAAATGGCTGAAGAGTTTGGACCGACCATTTGTGTGTTTGTAATCCCACCTACCCATTTCTGTGTGCAGTACACTATGTTATAATCACGATGGAGTCTTTGAGTTATCATTTATTCGATGATTCAGAAATTTCACCAATTGCTATATACTTCATAATCAACCTTTCCCGATTGCTTCTGGATAGTTTCTTTCATACTGTAATTGCATCACCATGATGACAAAAGCCCCATCTTATATAGAGTTGATATTAATTGCAACCTATTTGCGATTGATTTGGATTTGGATCAATTGCAACTCAAGACGGAGCCCAGAACTCAATTCTATTTAGAAGAAAGAAAGAAGAAAGAAAGAAGAAGCATCATGTAAACGAACTATTAACGAAGTATGGAGCATTAAACAGACCTGAAATAGCAGTTACGTGATTTAACACCAC